AGTATTGTTTATATATTTATGGTAGTTGTTATTAATTATTGACAAAATATTATAAGTATTTAATCAAAAAAAAAACAAAAAAAAACAAATGTAATTTAAAAAACAAATTTTTTACATATAAGAACTTATAAATAAAGGAAATTAAAAAAAATTTAAGGCCTGTCAACTCAGCAAGTACTGCTAGCATGGAAGGATAAAATGTAATCATCCATCAACAAAACCCTTTCATTACTTTAAAAGGCATTTAACGCAAGATTTGCAATAAACAAATACAAAACTACTAAAAGAACCTCTATAAACAATCATATATTTGCTTCAAGTGAAGAAACTTGGAAATATTGAAACTTCTTTTACTATTTTAATTTTTTTTTTTAGATATTAAATATTCTAAAAAAAAGGGAAAATAATTTAAGGCAAAAAAATTAAATCGTCTATACATATAATATATGTATAGACATTTTAATTCTATATATTTTATTGTGTGTGTGTGTGTCTATATATATATATATATATATATATATATATATATATATATATATATATATATATATATATATATATATATATATATATATATATGATATGATATATGATACATCATATATATATATATGATATGATATATATATGATATGATATATATATATATATATATATATATATATATATATATATATATATATATATATATATATATATATATATATATATATATATATATATATATATATGTATATATATATATATATATATATATATATATATATATATATATATATATGATGTACATACAAAACATTAAAATAATAATATAAAGAAAACATTCTCTATACAAAAAATCCTAAAAATTTAACAAAAGTTATTAAAACTTATGCTTCAACACGCTGTATACTTACTTTATATATATATAAAAAATTTGAGTTAAACATATTTAATGAAGAAAATCGAAACTTTTAAAAATTTTAATGAGGAGGAGCTGTTAGTAAAGCCTGCTTTTTAACAAAATTTATTTATTGTCAAAAGCATACATTGTTAAGAACAGAGGATAACAACATTAAAACACATTTTTTCAACAATATTTTTTCAACACATTTTAGAAATACACTAATTACAAATAGAATTAATTCATGTGTTTTATTATGACAATACACCACTCTGCTGGCGAGGACAATATTTTTGCTCTCAACAAAGCCAGGTCACATTATAGCAAAGTACACCACTTGGCTAGCAAGGTCAACAATCTTGCTGTAAACTAAGCCCAGTCACAACAATTTGAAACCATGCAAACAACATAATTATCACTTACAAACTATAAACATATTACATATAACACACCACAAACATTGAAACATTTCATATATTTACACACTTACAAAATATAAACCCATATAACCTTAACACATATATACACAATAAAACACAATATAAATAACACACATATATAGATAAAGATATAAACTAAGAAAAATATATAAATTTGAAACTTTACAGATACAACCTTATTTTTGTTTTTTGAAATACCTCGTAATAAATGTTTAACAACTTTCAAAAACAAACTATCAAACAATCTGGTTTTTTATACGGATTTTTATAACTTCTTTTAGATAAGGTATTAAACGATCTTGTTCTTTAACATGTAACATTGAGTTGACCGTGTGAGATGCAAGTGTTTTAAACACTCACTTTATCAAGAGTTTGACCTCTTGACCTTTGAAATGAGCAACGTCTTCTTGAGTCGTCTTTTAATTTAAAAATTACAGATTAATTTTATAAATTAATAAATTTAAGTACAATTGACAAAAGACTAAAATGCATGATTTAAATAAATCACCTGACTTTAAAAGTTACTTTACTAATTCAATAATAACATAATGTTCATCCTTTACTACAGAAGTTATCAAATAAAAATTGTTGATCTTATCACTAATTAAGCTGATGAAACAAAGTTTTTGATCTCATTACTGATTAAGCAGATACTGACAGATTATTAAGATTTGAAAGAGCCTCATTACGCGAGTTCAGAAGTAAAGCAATTCATAATAAAACTCAAAGGCCAAGTATGGTAAAAAAGTCCGTGTAAAGGTGCACGAATGGTGAGCAGCAGCAGCAGCGGCAGCGTTAAGTTAAGTATTAATTATAAGCGATAATTAGCGACTGCAAAAAAAAAAAGCACAACACGACTGCAAAAAAAAAAAGCACAACACACATATGAACACTTCAATATAAACGATGCACAAAATTACATAACAGTATAAACAAAAATAAAAATACACAACAATATTAACAATACACAAAAACACACGACAATATAAACAATTCAAACAACATAAAATATTATAAATTAAAAATTGTAGGTTTTTTTTGCATTTTTTTAAAAACTTATTAAAGTTTTTACTTTTAAAAATCTCATGAAAATTTTTTCTTTTAACTTTACTTTTAGTTGCTCTGTTTATTTAATATTTTTCTTCAATTTATATTCTTTAAAAGTTTTCATTGTTTTCACTTTATTAGTTTTTTGTAAATCTTCTATTCTAAACAATTTTTTCATTTTATTTCTTTTTTTCTTTGTTTTATTTTTTAGCTTTTCACTGTTAAAAAAATATATCTTCCATTTGCGATGTCATATTATATATACAAACAAAATTGTAAATAAAACTTGACTTATAAATCAAATTTTATTTACAATTTTATTTAGATATTATTGATAGTATTGAACTTTTTAAAGTTCATACTATTTTATATTAGTTCATTATATTTACTAACAAGTTATTAGTAAATTATGTTTTATTTATTTACAATGCTATAAAATCCTTTTCTTAAGAATTGAATTTTTTATAAATTATAGAAAAAACGTTATACTAAATAGTATGAACTTTAAAAAATTCTATACATGAGAAAATATTTTTATACCATATAAACCCTATATAATATAGCAAACTATTTTTCAGAAGTACCTATCTTTAATAAATATCTATATCTATTTATAACAGCATCCTTAAAAAAAATCAGCACCTAAATTACAAAAAAAATTTTTGTGAATGCACTTAATTAAAAACACACAGCACTTTAGTTCCAGTAAAACAAAAATATATTAAAATCTCGAACTTGAAATTAAAAACGTGAATAACTTCTCTTCGTTAAAAAGAACTATGGCGCTCTGTAAATTAGAGGCTATACTAAAGTAAACTAAAATATACGGTTTAAGTCCGTAATTTAAAGTAACTGAACTTCTCCGTATCATAAATACGGTCAAAATCCCATAAAAAGATGTGATTATTTAAAAAGTCTTAAAAGTATAGGTAATTACCTATACTTTTAATAATACGTTTTCAATAAATTACGGTCTTTTACGTAAAAGACCGTAATTTATTGAAAACGGATTTTTTCCGTATCAAAACAACGGAAAAAGTCTAATAAATACTACAAAAAGTATAAGAAAAAGTCTAATAAACTTCTGCTTGTATTTAAACAAAATTCTCAGAAATTTTTTTTTTCTTTATACAGAATTTTAGAGTTAAAGTCTCTTTTTGAGCTTCTTTAGGAGGTTGCTCAGTCGGTTTGCTTCAAATTGTTTTAACTAAAATTCAGAAACGTCTTTAATTGGGACATGATTATAAGTCAGAAGAATCCGAACTCTTACAAAGTGTTTAAGTCTATAATTTTTTTTTTTTTTCACTCAAAGTTATAACGTTATCCGTTTAATAAGTAAAAATAAACAAAAAAATTATATGCTAGTAGTAATAGCTCTTTTTCTTCTATTTTCTTGAGGAATATTTTATTGTCTAAATATTTTTGTTTCAAGTAAAATAATTCCAACACAGAGTAAAGTCTTTACTTAAAAATAACATTCAAGAGCTTGAGATTTTTATGAGTTTATGAGAGAAAAACCAAAGTAAATATATAAAAGCCCCCGTAAAAGGGCCTCTGGTTGTAAGAGAAAATACATTAACTTCTAGGCGTAATGACGCGTTTTTTTAAAACAACTTTAAAGACGAGCTTTTACCACGTGGATAAATATTTAAAAATCATTCTGAAATTTTATTAAACTGAACTGAAAATTTTATTAAACTGAAAAATTGGTCAAAATTAATCATTATCTTAAATCAAAGAACTATAAGAGATGCACAAAAACACTTTGATAAAAATATTCAATGGAAGATTTTAAAAACTTGAAAGAAATTGAAAGAGTTAAAAGAGAATGAAAGTAAACATCTCAAACTAGAGCAAAATTAAAAAAAACAAAACTATAGGTGTCCTGAGTGAAAAATATGAAGAAATGAAAGAAATTTTAGCTTAAATTTTAAATTGCGGCACACCTAATAAAACCACAAAATGTATGATACTTGATATGATAATATTTATAATATACCTAATATTTGCGGTAACAAATAGAATAAGAATAACAAATATTCACGTAATGGAATTACCCGCATGCAATCTAAATCTAAACCCATTTGAAACCAGGGTTGGCAAAAACCCAACCCAACAGGGTTTTTAGGTGGGTTTTTGGGTTTTTGGGTTTTTATTTAAGTTGATTACAAATCTTTAGTAACAAAGTTTGATAAATTTATTGTAATTTAAAAGCTATTTATCATTTTTTAAAGTTATATTTTTTTATACAAAACCTTAATTTATAATCAGATTGCATTTTTTTCTAATATAAATTTATTGTTTAACAGAGTTATCTTTTTAGTCAAATTTAAAATATAACTTTTGCAACTATTTTAATACCTCAGTGTTTTTAAAGGAAAATTTCGGGTACCCAAATATCTGATTGGATCATGAGTAGTGATTTCTAAAAATTGTTTATTCTTAAAAATTTTGGATCCAGCATTGATATTTTTGAAAATATTCCCATTTTCGCCTAAGGTGCTCATAGTACCTTAATCTACCCTATATGAATAAACGTGCACATTTAGCAAAATAAATGAATGTCCACAACAAACAAATAACTTATTTTTTATTAATTAAAATTAACATCCGTTTTTTGTTTCATTAACATTTTTTTTTTTTTTCTGTATTCATGTTTTAATATTATAAAGATATTTTTTTAGTTGAATCTTTGTTAAAAAGGTACGTTTGTGAACCAGTTGATGATGGGGTATCAGTTCTTTTTGGTTCTTCTTCTTCATCGTACACTTCCCTCAACAAAAAGTTTGAATCGGGAATCTTGCTTCTAAAACTTACTTCCTCTTTGTCTCTAAAATTGCCTTCATCTTTCTCTTCTGTTGCATTTTCAATTTCTTCTTTTAATTTTCGAAATGCACGAACTTCAAAGTTGTTTATAACATGAAAATAAAACATTTGAATTACTTGGATAGCAACAAAACCAATAAACAAGTATGGATAAGAACCGGTTCCACCAAGTTGCATTGATATTATTCCTAAAATTATATATATATATATATATATATATATATATATATATATATATATATATATATATATATATATATATATATATATATATATATATATATACATATATATATATATATATATATATATATATATATATATATATATATATATATATATATATATATATATATATATATATATATATATATAAATTAAAATCTAAAAACTTGATATAATTTACCAAACACATGAGTTACTGGAAATACTAGAGTAAACCCAATACTTCTGATAACAAAAACTTTCGAGCGGACGTATAGATAATCTTCATGGCTTCCGATCCAACAAGTTAAATCGTAAATTAAAATAACATTTATTACAACTATTATTACCATGATAATTATAGTTGGAAGTATAAAATATCCAATATCTGCAGTTGAACTGGGGTATGGCCATAAGAATTGAGTAACCCCTTTGTACGAATAATCATAACCAGCTACAGACGCTGCTAAAGCTGCGGGTATACCAAACGCTAATGTTGAATAAAAAAAAGATGCTCCAATCTTTTCATCATATAAAGGAGTAATCCCATGAATCAAATACATACCTTGTATAAAAATAATTATGTTAAAAGACACAAAAATTTTAGAAATATGTTAACAAAAAACATAAAGTAATATAATAAATTTACCTTCACAAGCAAACCATGTCATAACACTATGATGCAAGAAATTAATTATTGTGCTAATGGAATTTGATGATTCAGCATCTTCACTTAATTGAATACCTACCAATATCAAAACAAACTCCATAGCATGAATAAAGTCACAATAACGATAAATTAGGATCATTCCAGAAAAATTTGTACATCGCATTGCGTAAGGATACAAAACTGACAACAATGAAGTAGCTATACCAATATAACAAACAACTGAGAGTCCGTCGGTGATAAAGTTACGCATTATTTTTTCTTCTGTTGGAATTATTACAATTTTCTTAGAGATAATGGCAAAAGCTCCTTCTATGACGTCACACCTGCATTTTACCGTTGTAGTGTCAGTATAACTCAAATAACAACCGCCATCAGTCCAGAATCCTGTGCCAAGTCCATTTACTAGTTTAACGCATCGGTGGTTTATCATTGTTTTAGAATCTACTAAAGTAAATTTCATGGATGAGAATTCAGTGTTTATTTTTTTAATACGGTCAAGTGAAATGGAAACTATTTTCGAATTCAAGAAGTATTCAACTCCGTTTTCAGGTAAAATATCTGGATTACCGAGTTTTTGCAATGTTTGCCGCAATGCCGATCTATCAATTAAAAAATTAGCGTTATCTCCCTCTTTAACAATATTTGTATTGAACACAGTAATCTGAAACGGAGTTTTATCATTTTCTAACTGTGTCGGTGGTAACTCGTAGCTGACAGAGGTATCAAAATCAAAAATAACTGGATTCCATGATTGCATTAGCTTTTTATTTAAATATCCATACTCGCTATTAAAAAAACTTGAGGTATAACTCCATGATTTTCTTGCCTTTAAGTCAACCGCAGATAAATTTCCAGTTAAAAAAATGGCAAGGTTTAATAAATAGTCAGCCACATTTTGTGCGATCATTTGAGGTTGTTTAGGTGTACTCCAATCATTGCAGAAAATATAAGTCTCAAATAATTTTAAAAGAGAATTTGAACATAAGTCTGTAAAACATTCTGCGCGAACATAATACACTGTGGGATCATATGTATTTTTTCCTTCACACGACGAAGAATCGCTTGCATTACTTGTTTGGATTTCAATTGAACTAATTATTTCGACTCGGGCAACAATTAGTAGAAAAAAAAATAAAAACATTTTTTGTCTTCTTCCGTTTCCTGAAAGAGCTGTGTAATTTTTAAATAAAGTTGAATTAAAAAACATGAATATTTTAGTAAAATAAAAACGCAGTTATTACGTATTCAACTTCGAACTTGTAGCTACGCAACAAATGCTGCTGAGCTAAACTGGTTCTACGCAACTGTCGCTACGTTATTATTAGAAACAAGCTTTTTCAAAAACAAATTTTATTTATTTGAAAATGTTGATTTTTTTTTTCTATAATTTTTTTGTATAAATTAATGTATAGAATTTATACAAATATTGTTATTATATTATTTATGTTCTCAAATTTTTTTTAAATTGTTATATAATTCTTATTTATAACAATTTTGTATAAATTTTTATATATAATATCAATTATGGTGATTCTTTTTATATATAATATCTATTAGGGTAATGATCGTCGGTTGCAACCCCTAAAAATACTTTATTCAAAAACTTTTTAGATCCAGTATTATTTTATTTTGTAAAACACATTTAAGATGTGCCAGCAGACATTTTCAAAAATATTTGTTTTTTGAATCATATCTATACAAAAATATAAAATAACGCAAACAAATTAATTTAAAAATTACTAAGTTAAGTAACTTAGCATATTAGGTCTAATATAAGTTTTAGTGCAACCTTAGTCTTGAATACTGTTGGTTACATTTAATTCTAGTATTTATTTTGGCAAAAAAAAACAAAACACATAATTGATTAAATCTTTTTTTTTAAATGCAATAAACAGCGCTAAAAATAATTATAATCAAGTTGCCGATCAACACTGACCGACTGAAATGAAAAATATTGAAATGAAACAATCAAATTATTTTCCGGACGATCAAATTAAGTTTTTGTAGTTTTCACATAATTTTTGTATTCATTACACTTTATGCATTACACTTTTTGTGCTTGCGCAACACATTTTTAGGGTTTTTAATAAAGCCACAAAATATTTAATAATTCAATAACAAAATTTTTAATAATAAAGCAACAATAAAATAACTAGAGCATCCAAACACGTTGACCGGTTACACGTTAACCGGTTACTCGGTAACCGGTTTTATTCGATCTATACAATATCGGGATATTTCGCCTCAAATAACATTTAGAAAATTAAAGTTTTGCCGACTGTTTAATTTTATAACACATGTTTTGTAGGAATGAAAACTTTCTGGAAAATTTTAATTCTAGAAATTTTGGAAATTTTCAAAAAAAGATCAGTTATTTTATAAAATATGAGTAAAATTTTATGTCTTATTAAAGCAGTTGTTATGAACAATGTTATGGTAAAATAATATGAAACAGATTATAAAAATTTTAAAAAGCCCCCTTTGAAAAACAGTTTTTTTTGGTATTTTGTTGATTTTTTTATAGTAACTGTAAGTAGCAACTATGATAATTTTTTTATATTTTGGAACGTCAGTGTTTATCAGTTACCTAGTTGTAAATATTGGAACGTATCTAATTTAGTTGCTGAAGGAGCTTCTAATGTCTCTGTTATGAAAAAAGCATCAGTGATGTTTTCAAAGTGATGTTTTTTATTTTGGAATTAATGGTACGCATAAAACCAAACACAAATGTTTATGCTTTGACAATCTGGTCTCAGAATCAAACATTAAAATGGCTCAATAGTAAAACAGATGAAAGAAAAGAATTCTTCAAAAAAGATAATATGCGTCTTATAACAAAGCAAAAAGAAAAAAAAAAGTGAAGAAATTAAAGTACACCAAAAAAAAATTAAAGCTTTTAATAACTTAATAAAATTAAATATAAGTGCACAGATTTCATTGGAAGAAGCTAAAGAAAAAGTTTGTAATATGGAAGAATCATTAAAATTAAACTATCGTTGACCTATTCTATCGAAACTATATTAATTTAGTAGATGAAAAGTACTTAAAAAACAATTCAGCTTTGTCTTTAGGTGAGGTAACAAAATCTGAACCATTCATGAGAGGAGGAATAACAAAATTATAGACAGTTAAAGATTCTCCTGAAGTCTCAAAAACCTAATTTTTGAGATGAAATACAATATTTCATGACCAGAGAGTTGCGGACTTTAGCAATACGCAAAACATTTTCACATTGGTTCTTAGCAATAGTGAGCAGATATCTATTTTCTGGAGAATTGTTTAAGCGATGGATATGGAAGTAATAGTTATAATTGGAAATTGCAGCATTGATTGAAATCTCCTTTGGTTTTCGTCCCATTGCAATGAGAGGAAAACCATGGAGAAGAATGAGACTTGAATTGGAATTGTCGAGAGGAAACATAAGATTCCATGCCAGCATGTATCCAAAAAATTACATAAGAAGTACTATTGTCAGTAGGAAGGCGAAAGGTTTTTACCCTAGAGCCATCACAAAGAAAATTACGGAAAGAGTCCTAGACAGCTTTAAAGTAGTTATAAGATATAAGATGATAAGGCAATACTGATGATAAAAAAAAAAAGAGATAATAGTTTTAGAGAAATCAAACCGCAATCACTTTATGTTGAATGTGGAGAAACTGAACATTAACTAGGATCAGAAACAAGACATAAGTCGAATAGAGAAGGTAAATGATTCGGATTGTAAGGAAAGCGGGTTAAAAAGTTGACAAAAGAACAGTTAAAGTTTAAACAACGAAAGAAAAGTTACTTTAGAGACCATGAATATTTGTAAACTTACACCGTTAATGATGAAGATTAGTCAAGCTGGACACTGGAATATCAATGAAATGCTCTCTTGAAAAAATGTCTGCAAAACTTTGAGTTCCTTTATACACTGCTAACAATTATCCATTTGACATCATATTTCAGGGCCACAGCCACTTCTTTTCAAGGTTGAACTTGATATGTGGTTGCCGCATACAAAGGAGTACAGAAAGCTTTTTTATAATTAAAGCAAAGACCTAATATTCAGCTCGAACAACTTAATTCCATGCATGTTATATGTAAAACTGAACCTCTAGCTTTAATATATGAAATAACCTTAAAGGTGCTGTTGAAGTCTATAATAACAATTTACCTCGTAGGTGGAAGTTCCAAAACCAATAATTTTACAAGGTTCATTGTTAAAGTGTCATAAGCATGCTTTTTCAAATGTACACACACTTTTATGCAATGTACATTTTCATCAACATCTTATGAATGCGATCTATAATATATAAGTTAACAATCTGCACTTCGCAAATTGTTAACTTATATGAGAGCATTAGTTAGAGCATTGCTATGAGCACGTAATCTAATGCGTGTGCACCGTAATAAAATTGAAGCATTAAAAAAACAGAAATCACAAAATTGTTTATTAAACTCCATCCCAGAAGAATGGAGCTGCCATCATTAATTATATGACATTGATTTGTACAACAATATTTTATTGCATCTTACTTAATTTGGTTTTGGAAATAATATACTTTTGCATTTTACATTATATCATTCTTTCCATTTGTAGTTTTTAAATTTAATTTTTACCCTCTTTTGGCATCTTTAAAAAAAAATTGCTTCCCCTTTCAATGCTGATTACGCAGTTGCAGGATATTTTTATACTGTTGACAGTACTAAAAAATTGAAAAATTACTTTTTACACAAACTAATGGAAATAATAAACAGCTAAATGTGGTGAATTTTTTAAATTTATTTGTTTGAAAAAAAATTATAAACATTAACAAATCAACTTAAATGACGTTAAACGATATTGACTCTCTGAACTGGACGCCAACTTTATAGTTTTCGTGACGGTACCTCGATATCAAGAGTTCAATAGCCATTTTGATAACTCTGTTTCTTTTACCGTGCGTTTCATTGTGTTGGATTTAATTTCACTGCATTTATGGTTGCAAAGAAAAAAACACTGTAACAAATTAAGTAAATAGTTCAAACTAGGGCTTTTCATTTCCTGTAAAAATCTAATTCCCAGGATTCCGGGACAAAAATGACTAATTTACCGGGATCCCGGGAAATCCCAGGAATAGGTAACAAGCAAGGATTTATCAAACTAGTTGGAGGGGGGGATGTGTAAGTTCAAACAAATACAAAAAAACGCGGTTTAAATACTATTACTTTTAACAAGAAAATAATGACAAAATAATTCTTGGAAACTAAGACACTCAAAATACAACAAATATAAACTGCAATAACCATATATTTTATATATATATATATTAACTTTTAAAATAATTTTTTAAAAAACATAAATTGTCAATTGCGCTATCACTTAACGATGACCGAATTTTCGTAATAAAAAGACTTGCCGCAGAAAAAGCACTTTCTAAATCAATTGAAGTCGGTGGGATAGTTAATAGAGCATTATAAATTTGTCTAAATTATTTGAACGCTTTTTCGTAGCATCAAAAATATCCATTTCCTTTGTAATATTTTTAACGTCATATAACACATCTTCTGGCTAACTTCGACTAACGTTCATAATGACAGCTTCCAATTTTTGATGAAGTGTTGATTCAGATGTTGTCATCAATTTTGGTTCAGCCGTAATTGACGTTTCAGTCCAGTCATTAATGCGTTCTAATTTTTCAATTTCAACGTAATTTCTACCACCATCAATACTCTCAACAAAAAGCTTAGAAAATAATTTTGTAGTCGTAGCCTGAAGGACAAATTTGGAAGGAAACAACAATACAGAATCTATGTTCGATTTGTGTTTATAATTTGATGGATTATTTAAATATTTTAGCAAGCCAACTAATTTTTTTTCCGTCTTTCAACAATTTTCTGTTGCACACACTGCAACATTTTAACCGAAAAACAATCTTTCTTTTTGCGCAAAACATCAAATATAAACACTAATACACTATTTGCATCAAGTAGGGATGCGTTGCGTCGGCCAAGTCTTTCATTTCCCAATTTAATTGGTTGTAACGCCGTTCTACAGTCTGCACCACTAAATATTCCTCCTCCAATATTGTTAATATTGCTGCGTTTAAAATCAATCAATCTTTTAATATACATGTTTTTAATGCAATAAATCGCTCTAACATTGCAAAAAGGCTATTCCACCTTTTACATCCAGTATTAACTTGAGTTCTTTATTGTATGTAATTTTTACGT